CACTTCTCCACCGCCATCATAATGGCCAGGAACTCCTTCTCATAGATGGACAAATGTTGGTTTTTAACTCCTAGTGCCTTGCTGTAATAAGCAACAGGATGTCCTTGTTGGAGAAGCACAGCCCCCACCCCAGTTGCACACGCATCAGTTTCTACGATGAAGGGCTTGTCAAAATCAGGCAAACTTAGTACCGGTGTAGTTGCCATGGCCTGCTTGAGGGTGTCAAAGGCTTGTTGTGCACCTTCAGACCACCCAAAACCCTGTTTCTTAAGGAGCTGGGTTAATGGTTTGACAATAATTCCATAGCTCTGCACGAATTTCCTGTAGTACCCTGTCAGTCCAAGAAATCCGCGCAATTCAGTAACAGAAGTGGGAACTGGCCAGTCCAACTTGACCTTAGTCTTTTCTGGATCAGTAGCCACCCCAGTATCCGAGATAATGTGCCCTAAGTATTCCAATTTCTGTTGAGCGAAAGTACACTTGCTAAATTTTGCATAAAATTGATGCTCCCTCAACACTTGCAGTACATTTCTGAGATGAGCCAAATGCTCTAGGAATGATTTACTGAAAACTAAGATGTCATCCATGAACATAATCACATACTTTCTATTTTGAGGGGCAAACATGAAATTCATCCCACACTGGAAAGTGGAGGGGCCACCACACACTCCGAAGGGCATCACTTTGAACTGATAGTGTCCATAATGGGTTTTAAAGGAAGTTTTATGTTCATCTGCAGGCACCATTCTAATTTGATGATAACCTGACCTTAAATCCAGTTTAGTAAACCATTTAGATCCTCCCACCTCATCCAATAGCTCGTCCACAATGGGCATAGGAAATTTACTTTTCAGAGTGATAAAATTCAGCTTTCGGTAATCCACACAAAATCTCCATGATCCATCCTTCTTTTTAACCAACAAAACAGGAGAAGCAAATGGGCTGATGCTGGGGACAATGAGCCCTGCTTTCAACATCTCTGCCACTTGTCTCTCTATTTCATCTTTTTGTAATGGAGAATATCTGTATGGCCTTACGTTCACAGGCACTGCACCAGGAAGTAAATGTATTGCATGATCATGTACTCTGCTAGGTGGTAGAGATTGTGGCTCTTGAAAAACATCTTCAAATTCAGTTAAAAGAGTTTGCACTTCGGCATGAACACCTGTTGTATGTTTCTCTGACACCGGGGAGAGTAACACAGTGGCCCATATATCATTTCACTGGTGCCACCTGACCACTTGCTCTGCTGACATTTCCTGCAATTCAGATGAAACGGCGGTAGTAAGGCCTTGTAACTTGATCACCTGTCCCTCCAACTTAAATTGCACACACTTCTCTTTCCACTGGCACACCATTTCTCCCCATTGCTCCAGCCAATCCATTCCTAGAATCAAATCATAGCCTCCCAGAGCCAAGGCTTTGAAATCATACTTGAAGGTATGACCTTGCACCCACTAGTGTAAGTCAGCTATTTCTTCAGTACATTGTAGCAATTCCCCATTTGCCACTCTTACGGCCAAGGCAGTGTCCAAGGTGGTGGTTGTCACTTTAAGTCTCTGAAGTAATGCAGAATCGATGAAGCTATTAGTACTGCCCGAATCCACCAGTATGATAACTACATGGTTTCCGATGAGAGCTCTTAATCTAAGAGTTTTGGGATGATCAGCACCCGATAGAGCATTGACAGACAACTGCATTTTGGCCATAGCTTCCTCCTGAGCAATCACTGCATCTAAAATCTCATCACTGAGTATTGCAGAACTGTCAGACTTCATGACATGCACCTGTGCAGTAGGGGGCTTAGCACACACATGACCAGGCATATATTTTTCTCCGCAGCTATAACACAACCCATTGATTCTTCTAAATTCTTTCAACTGTCTAGCTTTCCATAGATCACCAGAGGCACTGAATTGATTCTGTTATCAGATTTCTGGTTGTATATCTTTGTATAAGAAGATTTGACACTTTTAGTTCTGCTCACCACTTCTTCTTGAACAACAGCATAATCTGCCGCTTCAGCTACAGTCCTTGGCAACTGAATCTCTATAGCTCCTTTGAGCTCTTATTTTAAACCCAACAGAAACCTGGTGACCAAGAAGGTATCACTAAAAGATTGCTCATATAGCAGCAGCTGATAGACCAACTGATTAAACTCCCTTTTATACTCCAGGACTGATGCAGACTATTTAAGCAATAGCAACTCTTTCGTTTTGTTCCGATGCACATTTCTATCAAATTCAGTAGTCACTGCAATCCTGAATTCACTCCAGCTTGGCCACTGATGTATTAACTTGTATGCATGAAACCAGTTCGCCGCATCCCCAAACATGTGTAAGGTTGCAGATGTTACCTTAAATTCTTCTGGTATGTCATAGAGAGAGAAATATGCCTCACACCCATCCAACCAAATCCTGACATCCGGCCCCTCGAATTTGGGGAAGTCCATCTTCGGCATCCAAGGTTTCCGACTGTGTGACTCTCCAACATTTGCTGGATCAAACTGATACCGATCACCAAAAGCTGCATTACCCTGTACCTGAGCTTGTACATGCTGCCGAGCTTGTTTCGGAGGAGGTGATCCCAGGATTCCATCGCCGCTGGCTGCCGATGACTGTGGTGACTGTTTGTTTAGCATCTCCCTCACTGTTGCCGCCTGCTCTTGTCGGGCTTCCCCCATGGATTTCATCATCAGGTTCACATTACCCTGCACCACATCAAGGCGTTCCACTTGCTCTGCCATCTTCAAATCCAACCCGTCCAGACGAGCTGCTATCTCGTCAATGTGTCCGAGATGTTCAGTGGCCTTGGAGAGAGCTTCAAGCTGCTTCATAACAGATGCCTCGAATGTGGCCATCGAATCAAGCACTAACTGCGTCTGCACACTTGCCTTCGCTGGAGTCGTAGCGCCCTCGTCTACCACCGCCGGAGTCGGCGAGCCTCAGGAGTTTTACAGACGCCCCCAACCTGAGTCTCTACAACCGACCCGCTCGCCGCCCTGCCTCGCAAATCCAGCCGCTCGCCGGAATTTCACACCCTCAGAAGGAACCGAGGGAAACCGCGAGCATACCTGAATCCGAAGCCGAACAAACCCCCGCGCCACAGAAAACTCCACCGGCGCCGACTCTGATAACGGCCGCCACACCGCCGCCGCGAACCCCGATCACGGCTCGGAATTTCACGGGAGAGCCCAACCTAGCCGTAACCGAGCTCGATTCACCACACCCCGCCGCCGATCGCCCGAATCTGATACCAACTGTGATGTACCGAGGTAATCACACGCAATCCAACATCAATTTCAGAGTTCCTCACTTCAATTCGAGAGATACAACCTGTGAGATACAAGGGGATCAAGAGAGGAGGAGACTTGGGAAGGAGGAAAGAGACGAGAGGAGACTTGGTACAGAATGTTGACTCATTCGCTGCCTGGCCGATCCGGCGACCCAGCCTGATATACTGCAGCCTCTCGCTCACTCGACGCGGCCCACTACGTTCGGCCCACTAACCCTCTCGTATGAATTACACGATGGTGCTTCAGTGTCTGTCGACGCTGTCAGTACTGTCATAGCTGTACTGACACACGTGGGATTGTACATATAACAGCAGCAGGAAATTAACATGCATACATATCCTTGGATCCATGCTGTTGCCTCCTTGATTTGCTACTCCTCCCTTCCTTGGCCCATGCTTTCCTCCTCTATTTTTTCTGGGTTGTCTGCATCCTCCTCATCTTCGTCCGCTGATTCCATCAGGGCAGCTAAACGAGGCAGTCCATCTTCACCCCATAATTGGAGAAGCCTAACAGCATCTGAGAACGCCTGACAAACAAAACGAGACGGTACGCTCTAGCGTTAGTGATGAACTACTATGGCAGAATCTACAAGAGGAGTTTAAGAAAAACATAGTAATTACACGTACTGGAACAGAGCAACGAATTACCAATATATACAAATATTACCTGCAGATCAATGTTTGTCTCCACGTTGTAGGGTTCCCTTGTGTAAAATAGGTGATGGCTCTTTTCAGTGCCATCAACATTTGCATAAGCCTCAACATGCTGGATATGGCTGAACTTGGCCCACTCGGAACTAGACTTACCCAAAGCCATGGAAATGAGTATGAACGACCAACAGTCCAGCAGCAAATGGCTTGGCTTTACAGTTTGCAGGAACAATGGGAGCTGTCTCTCGCTGTACTGAACTGTTAGCTCGAGCCTCCAGAGTGCATCCATCTCCTGCAGCGACTCGAGCTTCCGGCAGCAATAGATCTCAAGTTTTTGCAGCTTGGGGAAGTTGGAGATTCTAGTGAGGTCCGGTAGTCCACCCAGGTTGAGCTCGACTACGGAAGCAAAGTCCTCAACAGACTGAAAGCCCTGTACATTGTATATGGTTAATTTTTTCAAAAACCTTGCATGGGAGGCAAGGCCAGGAGGGATACACCTCAATTTGCAACTTTGAATAAAAAGTTCCTCCAAGACAGGCATAGCATGCACTTCCTCCTCCCACTCCCACTCCTCCCATTCCTCCATCATATTCAAGGTCAAGGTGTGCAGTCTTGGAAACGCAACCCCAATGTGAGATGAAGGGTGGAGATGGTTACTTTGGGGCTGCACAAATTCAGGCCCAACATGTTTGATCATTGGAGCTTCGTCAACCATTAGGCTCTCTAAACATGGGAGCTGACACAGACCATCAGGGAGTTGAGTGCACAAAGCAAGGTCTTCCAACTTTAGTAGCCTCAAGCTACCAAGGGGTGTTGTCGCTGTCCGCATTATCCACCTTGGGAGGTGACGCCCAAAATATCCATTGATGCGAATATCTTCAATGGAAGGCGGAGGATAGAGCTCACAAAACACCTCCTCAATTATGCTTTGATCCCTCTCAGAGAACACATCTTTGACCAATCCACCATCTCTCGATCTACGATTATTGCAGCATAATTCCAATATGTGGAGATACTTCTTTTCAGCAAGCCTGGCCTTCATGGCAAATGACGCATCAGATACATTCTTTAGGCTCATTAATCCAATTATCCTAAGTTGGGAAAGAGGCCCAAGCTCTTCCAAACTACACCAATCACCATGCATGTTCGTTTGGAACCCCCATAGTGACCTCAAATTAGTGAGAGCAGAAAAACACCTAGGCATACTATTTACTTGTGTGCCATCAATGTCAAGGTATCTCAGCTCTCTTAATTGTACAATGCTGTCAGGAAGTTCCACAAGATTCTTACAACCATCAAGGCTAATGTGTTGAAGGAATTTCATGTTGTGAATGTTCTCTGGTAGGGTTTCTATGCCATCACATTCTTTTACTGCGAAGTACCTCAAGTGTTTGAGCTGATCCATAGATCCAACTAATGCAGCAAAATTTGCAGATTCTATATGCAGAACTCGTAGACTTGGACAAGCACTCAAGGAATCACTAGGCTGAATCTTGACACATCCAATCAATATCAACATTCTTAGTGATTTATGCTTTTGTATAAATCTCCACTCAAAATTATCAGATTCCACTCCTTTGGTTTCTATAGACAACCTAAGAAAGCTTTGCACACCGAGTTTACTATTAACAGCTTCTCCATCATGAGCTACTAGTGATTCATTTCTAGCAACAAATTGAGCAAACGAACGAATAACATCATGCATGTTGCAAACGTATTGACCGATCTTTGATGTATCCGGCTCTATAAGGTTTCTTTCTATCAGCTCCTTGTGGTACTCAATTCCCAATTCTTCCAATCTATCCACGTTCCCCTGAATAAATCCTTCAGCAATCCACATACCGACAAACTCGTCGTCGCTGAAAACAATCCTTTTAGGCTTAAGGGAGAAGTGCAAAAAGCATTGTTTTAAAGAAGGGGACAAGTCCTCATAGCTAAGGTATATTGCATAATTTAGCTCCTTGGGCATTTCAGATACTGACCATATGGTATCATTCAAGACATTTTCCCAATCACGCCGTTCTTTCTTCTTTTGGCATAATAGTCCTCCCATCACTTTTATAGCCAGTGGCAAACCATCACATTTTGCTAAAATTTGCAATCCAATATGCTTTAGCATATCAATCTCGGGTTCACTCCTCTCTGTTCTGAGCACCTGCAAACAGTTTCAGTCAGTAGTGTTAATTAGAAACCATAAGCACATAGAGCGGCTAGTCGCTTGTGTATAAGAAATAATACATTATCAAGGAAGTGCACCGAATTGTTCATTAATTCATAATGATTTGATGGTGCACCCATTCGGATATCTTGATGGATAGATGCCCCTTTTATCCTTTTTTATCAATGTGAAGTAAAACACATAACTATGCAAAATCGATGAACTAGCTACCCAGACACCAAGTACATGTGCTAGTTAATTCCAGATTGATTAATTATGGGATCGACAGTCTAGTTAGTTGTGGAGCAAAGAGGACCAAGGTGTACGACTACTGAAAATGCACCATGTGTACTGTGGTGGATGTACTAGTCTAATACTAACATGTTGTTCATCAAACATCAGTGAACATATATATGATGCACTAAACTGCAGGAGCACTTTAAGATGGGAAAGACTGTTGATTAGTATATAGATCACACTTGAGACATAGAGAAGGGTACTCGTAATTATATACTCACCTGCTTCTTGAGCAATGACCATGCATCTTCAGATCCTAACTTGTCCACATGGTGGTATGGCTCCATGGCTCTCATGCCTCGGGCAACATCATCATGTCTTGTGGAGACTAGAACGCGGCTACCGAGGGCACCGTGGCTAAATGGTGTCATCAACAATTTGTTCCATTCATTGACACCCCACATGTCATCCAACACAAGAAAGAACTTCTTGTCCTTGATGGCGCTGACAAGAGCCGGCACAAGCAAGGCTTTATCTTGAGACTCTGGCGGTTTTCCATCTACTGCACTGATGGCTGTCCTCAGCAGCTCAATCTCGCTGAAATCTTGCGTGATACTTAACCATATCTTTTTGGAGAACTGGGCTTGCATGGCCTCGTCATTGAAGATCTTTTTGCTAAGGGTTGTCTTGCCGATTCCCCCAACACCAACGATGGCGAACACCAAGATGCTATCACTCCCGTCATGTACCTCCTTCGTTAGCAGCTCTACAAGCGCTCTTGTGTCTTCTTCGATCTTCTCCCCAATCACACCTGAGAGCTCCAACACTGGATGGGTCTTGCGGTCAACATGAGGAGGGTGGTTCGTCTTCCGGTCTTGGTAGCTTTCTAGCTTGATAAAGTTGAAACTACGTCCCCTCTCGCAGATGTCATCCAGCTGCTGGTTGAGCAACTTGATGCGGGTGCCGATGTCATGGGCGTGGAGGGGGTTCCGCATGCAGAAGAGCAGGGGGTTAAGGCAGCCCATGTACTTTGATGGACCTTGCTCCATGGCCTTGAGATGACAAAGGTCAAGGATGTCGGTGGCGAGGTACATGGCACGCTTCAGGTCCTCCACCCAGGCACACACGCTCTTGTCCGTGATGTTCCTCCTATCAGCATCTTCAAGGAAGTTGTTGAGGTCCCTGAGCTTGGCGCTCAAGTCATTGATCTGACCGGACACTCCGATCAGCATGGCCACCTCGTCTCTGGCCATGTCGGCGAGCATCTTGGTCACGTAGGATGCCAAGGCATTCAGAACTCCCGCCATTAGTTGCTTGAGCTGCTGCTGCTGAAAATATGCAGAAAAGTAAAATTTAGTACCTAAACAAGACAATACCAAAGCTTTTTACTCCTAGAGAACCCAGAATCATCGCCCATTGTCAGATCTGAGGAGATACGTACTGGCACGGACGAAGCCTCATACTACTGCGTAAATCATATACTGAGGCAGGATCGTCCCACATAGTCAGATCTGAGGAGATACGTACTGGCATGAACGAAGAGGAAGCGGGGTCCTCACCTTGTACGGCGGCGGACGGAATGTTGGAGGAAGCAGCCGTCGGCGGCACCGAGCAGCTCGCTCCAGCAGCGCCGCAATGTGTGCGGCCGGCGGCGATGCGTCTCCTCGCAGTGGAGACTTAGAGAAAGAGTGGGAGCGGTCACACAGGGTAGGAGAGGTAGGATGGCAAGGGAAAAAGGAGCTAATCAATTAGCAATATGCACCTCACCTCACAATGGATCTGAAGACGAGTGTGAGTAGATTATGATTACGTGGAGACGCGTCAGATGGGCCTATGCACCTCACCCCGGTACACAGAAGCCAACCTTACAAGTGTGACCGACTAGTTTCTGAATTTCATCCGCGTTGACACAGTTTCAAAAAAATGGAAATTGCCTATGAGAACCTGAAATCTGGCTAGTTTATTATATCCATATATAAATTGCGGAGAGCATTAAACTAAGAGCAGATACATAAGGCAATATTACACCCGCACAGGAAGAAAATTAATATGTCAGAGGCCACTTTGCCAGGACACCGTCAGCCGACGGAGGCGCTAGGCTACCGTGGGACTCGGCAACACGCGGCTGCCCTTGAGCTCGGCTGTTGTGCGGCGGTTGTGTCGTGTTATACAACACTTTATTTATTAGATTATAGACTTATTTTGTCTTGTTATGTGTGATGTACTGATGTTACACATAATATGAGTAACTAGCTATGTTACTTAATTCATCTCTCTCCATATTAAATCATTGCCAAATAATCAAATTTGCTGAGTTTGATCATATATTACTGCTACAGTTGCTCCCACCATGAACAGTCTGACTAGCCTAAGCGTTTGCACTCCAACCGATGCACACCCACTCTCCACCCATGTCTTGTGTCGCTGGTTTTCCGGATGGGTTGGTCTAACCGATGCACACCCACTCTCCACCCCTTTTAAAATCTGCACCTTGCGTAAAGAAAAAGGAGCGAAGCACATGGGAAAGATGCATCCCCAAATAGATTTATGAACATGATGATATATGGTGCAGACAAGTAATATTCAGGATAGACAAGCTGCCTATAAAACTGGTGTCTGGGAACCTCTATTAATTTGTGCACTACTTGTTTTACTTAGCTAGCACTAATGCCCGCTGGCACTGGCTGAGCTTTGTTGTTGTGCCTCACCCCGTT